AGTGTCCATCAACCATTTCACCCGCTTACTGATGCACGTTGACATGGCGAAAACGTTCTTCGGCAAACCATGCTGTTTCTTCCAGTCGACGGCCGACTCTCTGATTTCGTCCTTGTTCTGATCATATTCTAACATTATGCTGCTCTCCTTGGTCACTGGGAAGTAGTGTTTCTTGTATATGTCATCTACCACCTCTCTCAGTATTTTCGCTCTTATCAATGATCGTTGGACTTGATAGGCTGATGATTCTCGATGATCACTGCTCTTGAACTTCTTCTCGTCGACGTACACGTACTGATAAGGCTCATTCTCATTGTCCTCATAGCCGTACCATTCCCCTTTTCGTTCCCATTGCCTTCTCTCGTCTTCGAGATAGGTGATCTCTCCATTCTCGTCGACATCGAGTACTTCCTTGAACCATACCATTTTCTCGGGGATCTCGGATTCGCCAGACCATCTTGATGATTCGCTCATCGCGTCGTCATCATGCTCGTGGTAGACAGTCTCGGCTTCATCCGGTTCGACCTGGTCAACGTCCTTCTTGAAGCTAACCTTTCCCGCAGGAGCCGATTGCTTCAGGACTATCGCAGGCATCGCGATGGCCCTTCTTGCAATAGCTGGCGCTGCGGCCTTGGCGGCAGCCTTCGACTTGGCTTGTGCCTTGTCGCTTGACGTTGCCGGAGCTGAATTGTTCTTGATGAGTTCGTGCCTATACTTGCAAGCACTCCCTCTGTCGCACTTTCCCTTCTGAAACGCGAAGCATGCTCCATCATCCCTCTTCGGTGACGATGATCTGGATTTGGACTTACCTTTTCCTTTCCCTTTGGACATGTTCCGTCTTCTTGCTGTGGGAAAATGTGCATTCATTTCCTTTTACGCATCCCTTCGCCGACTTGAAGTGATACCAACATGGGTTATCTTTACCTCCGCCCGGACTCTTGCCTCTGTCGCTGGCACCGTCGGACTTGCCGTTCTTGCCAGCGTGACCCTTTGCTTTGGCCTTTGGGAGTACAGGAGCAGCATCAGGTCCACTGGGTTTCCCCTTTCTGCCTTTGCCACCCTGGTTCTCCTGTTTGCCAGTGGCTGGGGCTGCATCTCTGCCGCCCGACTTCATCATCGACTTGACCGATCTCTCCTTCATGTCAAGCATCAGGTCCTCCCGATCTGCCTTGATCTGATGGTCGATCAATGCCAATAAGAATTCGTACGTCTTTTGAGGATGCTTGTCCGGCAACCTATGGTAGGCATTGAGGCCGAACTCCATCTTCTTGCTCCCTTTGATCTTCCTGTAGAGAATATCTCTGAGAGCCAACTTGCTGGGTCTGTCTTCGCTCCTCATCTTTAGCAGCAAATCATACCATTTGTTCCTGAATATAACCAAATTCTTGTCTCCAGGAAAGTCAAGGTTGAATAGGTGCTCGATGTGGTAGACAAGATCCGTCCTATCAGATGTTCTGAATGATTGCATAACCAATGCCACCAACTCTCGTCCCTTCACGATCACCCCTTGTTGATGTCGTAGTTCCGAGTGTCGTGTAGCGTCGAGGTACACGTCTTTGGCGTCAGGTGCTTGCTTCAACATGTTCTGCATGCCCATGGCCATCTTGATATCTATCGTAGCAAATCTGTCGCCGCCGGAGTCGCTCAGCACATTCAGGTCTGGGTTTAAGCCAAGAGCCTGTTCCAACCATTTCGTCCATGTATCAGTATCTGGATCTGCGCATGCGCTCAGAACATTCATCAGCAGTTGCATCTTCCAGTTGTCGAGTTGATGGATCTTTGGCCAAGCAGGAATAGACACCCTCTCGGTTTCTTTCCTCGAAATCCTCGGTCTTTCGTTCTTGATTTCTCGATCATCCCTCGATCTTCTGCGCCTCCTCCGTGTCCGATTGTCCTCTTCTTCCTCTTCTTCTTCCTCGTCCTCTTCGTCCTCTTCATCGTCGTCATCCTCGTCCTCATCATCGGGTGGATCATCCGGAGGTCCTCCTCCGCCACCTGTGAGACTCAACTGACGTCGACCTGCTCCTTGTCTATTTCCATTGGGCGAGAATCCACCGTAATCCAATGGGGGTGTAGTACCATTGTTTCCCCCTCCATCACCACCACCAGTTGTAGTAGCGGATTGTGGGACATGCCCAACAACCCCTTGCATCTGGGATAGGTGTACATCGATCATTGGATCACCAAAAGACGGAAAGAGAATCGAACCTGGCATTAGTGACGAATTAGGGGTCAGATTCGACGACGATGACGGGAATAACCCAGTCACCCTCTTGTCTACCCTAGTTGAATTAGCTTGGGGTCCTCCCTCAGCGCGTTTCACTACTGCTCGTTCACGATGTCCATCTTTACTGCTAGAGGCTTCCTGTGTCTCCAGCTTCTTGAGTGCACGTAGTTCCTCATTGTCAGCATCGAGTTGACGAACAAAACTCTCTTCTTGCTTGAGCGTCGCCTCCCGGTCCTTCAGTTGTCCCTGAAGTTCGTGCATCTCCTCGAGGTACTCATCATACACTCCCTTAGCTGTCAATCTCCAGTACTCGGCCTCCTTCGACTTCTCGTCCATCGTGCACCGTTCTTCTTGTTTTGCTTCTTTGACCTGGGCTAACTCCAAGATCGCATCTTGACGATGACCACCCTCGATAGCAATCATCTGGTCCTTCATCGACACGTCGGATTCATACTGTTTGACGATCTCTTCCTTCTCGCGAAGTAAGCAATCTGCTCTCTTTGATTCTTGTTCCGCGAATATTGTAACGTCGTTCAGTCTCGCCATCAGCTGTTCCCTGGAGTCCTCCATAGAGTACGTCTCGGGGCGTTTGACGAGTGCGTGCTCCAACTGTGATTTTAAGCTTTGGACCATCTCCTCCTCGTTGAACTTCTCGATAGATGTAGACGATTCGATGCCTCTGATCTGTTGCTGTTGCTGATAAACTGATATTTGTTGCGAAGCTTCACGGTGTATCTGATTTGCATGTATAGCTGATTCCTGCGCGGCCGACTTCTCGCTTGCCATGTAGGATTTCATCACAGCAATCTCCCGTTTCTGCTCCATAATAGTTCCTTCAGCTTGTCTCATCTGTTGCATTATAACATTCGACTCCATGTCTTTCTTTTCCCCGTACTGATATGCGTTCATTTCCACCTTGCGCATCTGTTGGGCTTCCTCCTCAAACTTGCGCCATGCCTCAGCCATGTGGTGTTGGTGGTGACTCACTAGATGTCCCGACTGCTTGCTGGCAATCTCGCATCGTCTTTCCAGCTCCTGGATCCGGATGGTGCTCCCATAGTCTTCTTGATGAAGATTCGCCATCGCTGCCGACATTTCATCAAGTGTCTTTTGATATTCCCCGATCTCCATCTCCATCTTGTTCTTTTCCTTAATCGCGGCGCGAAACTCAGCACTGGTGGGTGATTTTGACCTCCCACCTTTTGATGTTGACCTCACGCCCTTCTGCGACGTCCGTGGTGTCGCAGGCGAAGATGATGATCTTCTCGGTGGGGATTCTCTTTGCTTCGACTCCTGATGAACATCGATCTGCTTCCATGATCTTGTGGGAGTGGATATGTCGCTGAATAGCGCGGATCCTCCGCTCCCAGGTTCGTCCTGTGAATCTGCGATCATATCCATCACCGCAGGAAGAGCCATCAATCCATTGGATCCCTCTGAGCTGCTGTTCCCAAAAGTTGCAGTACTTGGGCTCGCTGAAGATGCCATTGTACTGTGTAGGTTATTGTTCCTTTATTGTCCCTGTACCCGCAATAAACCAGCTGTCTCTCTGTCCAGTGTAGAGCTTGTCGATACGGCTGATAACCTGTCAAGAGACGGCAAGGTGACGTCCCGTGGGACGCTGTGCACCGAACCCTCCAGCTGTAATACCAACCACGTAGAAAGGTGTATACGGTCAAAGCCGTTATAGCCGAACCCGTGTAAACGTTGTAAGGGAGAAGGAATAATAGTTACAACAGTGGTCCTGACAAATGCAGCGCAAGCGAAGTGTTTTCCGCTCTCAATGCCGATCACGTGTGAACGCAGCTACACATAAGATCTTGAACCTCAATCGTGTCTTGAGCCAAATGGCGATCAATGGAACCTGGTAAGCAACACAAACACGGACCTCAGAACAGCTTCCCAATTTAGGCACGGGGCCAGGAGGGTTTTAACAAAACGTTTGAGTCCAGCCAGAAATGTCCAGAATCTCTGGATTGCTTCCTGTCCCAAACCACCAAATTCCTTATCCATCCCTTTACTAGAAGACGCACCCTGACAAATTTTCAAGGGGGGGGCACACGGAACCCCCAGGAAGGCAATAATGCAGTTTGTTTAAGGGTAGGGAATTGTGAAAAAAAAAACTAGCCAGGGCAGCCTGCCAAGAAGAAACCCCTGCTGTTCTTAGGCAAAGCCAGAAATGTCCAGAATCTCTGGATTGCTTCCTGTCCCAAACCAAAAAAATCCTTATCAATCCCTTTACTAGAAGATGCACCCTGACAAATTTTCAAGGAAAGAAGGCACACGGAACCCCCAGGAAGGCAATAATGCAGTTTGTTTAAGGGTAGGGAATTGTGAAAAAAAATAAACAGGGCAGCCTGCCAAGAAGAAGAACCAATACTAAAACAATTCTAAACTGTAGTGAGTCAACTGAACAGAATACTAAACTAATACTAAACCAATTCTAAACCGTAGTGAGCCAGCTCAAAGGAATACTAAACCAATACTACACCAATTCTAAACAATACTTACTGGAAGACCACTCAGGCAGGTCCCAGTCTGACCCCATTTAGTTTTTGGGGTTTCCGCTGTTGACCCCCCCCAATTCGTTTGAGGGGGGGGGGGGCCTTTATTAATCACTCTCCAACATTAACAAACTTCGGTAGTAGCAACTTCCCCACTTTCAGTGGGCCTTCATTCCAGGCAAACGCCAAAAACCCGGGCAACAAAAACAAACAAAAGCAACCGGCTGACTCACGGTGGGACTCAACCCCTGTAGGCGGCGGGGTCCCTCCTGCTGCGACCAGCTGGATCTCTTTGGTCGCGATGTGCTGGAGGCGATGGAACTCCTCCACAGCCTGGAAAGGTTCAAAGTCATGGACTTACACTCCCCCAGACTAACATGGAAGCTCCCAGAAGGCCTCTGCAAATGGAACCAAGTCTTCCAAAGGGAGTGTGCCAGCTTAGGGGTGGTTGGGTGGATTTAGGATTTGTTTCGGATGGGTTTGGGGTAAGTTTCGGGTGGGTTTAGGATAGGATGGGTTGTGGTTGGTTTGGGGAGAGCAAATGGCACAGCTCCCTTGTAGGGGGGCATCAAACCTGTCAGGAAATAGGCACTGTCACTCAACAATGTTTGAACCAGTTTCTTGTGGCCTTGTGGGTCTGCATCTACACCTTTGCCCCAGGACCCACATTGGATAATGTAAATTTAATACGTGTTTGAAGGTCTCAAAACCTGAGTGCCCTACTCGCAAGCGCGCCCCTGGATGTCTTTTGCACTTGGCAGGTGTTGAGCCTTGGACCTTTTGGCCTCACTTTCAGTGGCGCGTAGTGTCGGGCAAGCCCTCCTGTATCGGGGTGGGCAGGCCCTTTCGAGTCTTTCCCACAAAGGAGGCATGAACTCCTATTGACAATTTGCAGGTCAACCATGGTCAACCATGGCCCGCCCCCAATTCCATTTCGAAAGGGGTGGAGATCGGGAAAGAGGCCTTTAGGGACACCGTCCCGCGTTCCATACAGGGTACGCTGCGGGGATAACTGTGTCTTCTTCGATGGTTGACCTGGCTAATGCAAGCACTGGGTGCCAACTCACACTGTATTTGGCATAGAAGGGCACATAAGGGGCACATATCAAGTCATAGGTAATAGAAAATATGCCTTGCTGTGACACCGAATTGAGCCGTTCCTCTGTGTAATTTGTCTTTCGGGCTCCCTTGCGATAGTGGCAACCTCAAATCGAATTTCCATTAATCAGGCCAACCAAAAGGTGGCTCCAAGCAGTATCCAGTGGTTTTTGTGGGGAACCTAGATAAACCTAATACACATCAGGAAATGTTGGACCATATTCCCAACCATGTCGTCAGGCGGTGGAGACCGCCTGCCAATTGGACAGGCGTCTTGCTTTCAGCCCTGGCTCGGCCCAAACCTCGGCTTGCCGGTTTTGGCGCCGAATCCCTTGGCAAGCGAGTCTTTGCTGCATATTTATCTCAAACATTACGAAGCTGAAACCACTCCCTTTAAGTTGGCCCAAACGTGATGTTAAAGAATGACCTGTCCCGAGAGGGGAAATGTAGGCTTCCGCTTTTAGGGAAACCTGGGAGAGCGCGGACCTGAAAATAAAGGGTATTGATTTCAAACCCGTGGTGAACACTGGAACATGTAAAAAGGGAAGTGTTGCTGCTTTGTCTGCCACCCTCCCGCATGTGCGATGCTGGAAGGAAGGGTGCACCCTTGGTTACCTAAGCCATCCCAACTAAACATGTTTCGACTCTGGCCCATAGTGGCAGAAAGTGTAAGATGCCAAAAGCGTCCCAATTGTGCAACACACCCAAAGCCCGCACAGTTTCTGTTCTCACTTGCGCTAAAACCCGTGTTGGCGTGCTAGGCTACATCTTGTAGCCTAATTAATGGTTTGAGTGGGTGTTTTTTGACACCCAAAGATCTCGCACCATCAGCCAAAATACCCTTTTGGCGTGCCCTGGCATTTTATGGCTGAACCTTACACTTTCTGAACTCAACTAGGTCCACAAATTCAAATCTATGCGCCAGATCCAAACCACTGAGAACGTTCCATGGAGGGGGGAGGTTGGGCACACGTTCTGGAAGGCCACTGGAGGTCAGTGGAGGCCTGGGGGGCATAAAGGATTGACTCAGTGGTGGCCCCCTTTTGTGGGAAAAGCCTCTCAAGACTCAGTTAGCCTCTTTTGGGTAGCCGGTGTCGTGTTCCAATGAAACCCACATTCTTCATAGTTGGCGAACCTTAACACAGAACAGAACCGCAACAGTGGTCCTGATTTTATTTCCAAGGGCACTAAGTCTAATCGCTCATTCTGGATCCCTAACCCGCACTTCTGAGATATACTGCAACAAGGGGTATTGATTTGCAGTCCATTTCGGAACAGTCCAATAAACAACAACGCTTATCACAGAGCAAGAAGCTTGAAGGCCCAACCTTAATGAGGGCAAAACGGATGTTGCTGGTAGACTTGGGTACACTAGAATTGCTTAGGCGAACATGTGCAAACCCAAAAAGGCTTTGCGAACGTTTGCAAACCCAACCGAGGCACATCTACAATTTATTTATTAAAAAAAGGCCAGCCGAAGCTTGCGAACCCAGTCGGCGTTCTGCGAACCCACGGGGGATAGGCGAACACCTCGCGAACACCAGGCAGGCTAGGCGAACCTGTACGAACGCATGTCTACTGTTCCCATTCAGCACTGGCCACATGGGATTTGTCTTGACTTAAGAGCTTTGAGCGGATCCCAGTCATCACTAAGAGCCAATTGTTTTTCAGTTTCCTGCTCAGGAACCGGAAAATCACTGGGTTTCCCTTCATACGCTCGACTACGCTGCCTTCTCCGCTATGCCTTGGCCGGCCAAGGGGCGCCGAGGGCAAAAAGGGAAAGCAATTTGAGTGGCATGGCACGATACTAGTGCCCCACAAGTAAAGCTCGTTTGTTGAGCCACAGGCCTGCGCGCAGGAAGGCCAAGTGTGAAGCCAGTCGCAAGAATTGCTCTCCCATCCCGCCCAAACTGTATCCCCTGCTTCGCCTGAAGGCCTTACTGTGTTCCTGGCGAGAACGGGGAGGGATGTAGGTTGGAATGCTCCGACAAGAATCATTTTGGGTAAGTTGTTTTTTGCAGGTGTCCAAGCCCCAGTCGCTGAGGTACCTCCGCGCGGGGCTTCCGCGCCGAAAGAAACTTACCCAATACCTTGCAGTACGAAATCCGTTGTTTTTTTGGAGGAGTGTCCCATTTAAGAACGAAACCTTCACTTTGTTCGGGAACTGGACCCTGCCCCTATACATCCACGCTTCTTGATCTGGGGTCCACGTTGCGTTGCATCACACAAACTGGATGGGAAGCCTTTTAGGGTTTTATGCTTGCATATTGAGCATCCAAGTAGCACCTGGCAAAGCTTCCTACATGCTGGCATCTTTGCACATACCCGACCAAGCAACAGGGAAAATATCAACCTCGCTTCGCTACAACAGCCACCCCGACTGGAAAGCCCGTTGGCTTGGTTGATCTCAGCATCTATCCACTGTGAGGGGCACGGTCCAACATGAATGTACAATGAGGCTGTTTTGCCAAGATTAGCATGGCTTAGAGGAGCAAAGCAAGCACTTCACGCCCGCCGTGGTCAGTGGTAGGGTAGCGTCACTTAACACATGATCGAGCAACAATGGTTTGAAACTACACGGACACCCCACAGTGAAACCGGCACAATCAATGCCACTGGAGATCCAGTACCAAATGCTTGGAATGGATGGTCAACCAAGGGAAATGCATCAAGGCCCTTACCCGCTGTGGATGTACAGCGGGACCCCTCCCCAATTTAAATGGTTTTAGGGGATACATCAACTGGATCCATTAAAGTGACTTGATCCACTCGCATGGTAAGACCTAGCCAAGCCTTTAGCTGCCTAATGCTGCCTATAGCCCAGCGCCACATCGCAGCTTTTTGTGCCCCTGCAGAAAGCTGGCAAGGGCTTGCCTGCGAAAGATGCTCGGATCAAATCAGGGGCATCGCCACTTGAGCTTGAGTAGCCAACCTGTCATGAGCTGGGCTGCCCGTTGATGTCCTTTGGCTGCAAGGATTGGTCATGTGTGACTGAAAGTGGCGACAGACGTGTTTCTACGCAGCAAAACACGTGGCAAACCGAGCTGTTGCAACGTGCCTCGCATGCCTCTCTCATGCTGAGCCGTGGCCTGCTTGGCCAGTGGCCATGGACCAAAGGTTGTTTTGGCCTTGTTCCCTGATGGTTATGCGGAAATGAAATGGTAGGACAACATAAATCGAACCAGGTGCATGACATCTACCAAAGGATCTTGCTTGAAACAGTCCAATCAGTTTGAAACATCATACCCTCCCTCCAACAGTCATAGGGGCTGACAGAATGTCCCTTTAAGAGGAGCTTGGTCTTCCAGGTAATCTACAAGTGCTACATGCATAAATCCCATAGATCCGTATCCCGTTTCTCCGCTGGCTCCATGCCTAGTGCTGCCACCAGGGCTTTGCCGCCGGCACGCAGCCCAGGCTGGTCGAAAGGGAGCCCTTGGCTCCGAAGGTCTGCGCACCTCGGAGACGTTCCGACAGACAAATCTCGATGGCCATGGTCTGGGAACTTCCGCATCTTGCCGTTAGCTGAGTGCCGAAACTCGTGTCGGACCCTTTCAAGATGGTTTCGCAACCACATGCTTTGCTTTCGCGGGCAGGTTCCCTCAGGTTTGCCTTTGCGGCGCTCTCGCCGGATGCTTCCCAGAGCTGAGCGCAAAGCAGAATCATCAGCATCGGCTTGGAGTGGGGCATCCCTTTCCGGGATGGGTGTTGCCTTCTTGGGGCTTTCGCGTGTGCGTTTCGCTGCTCACCTTCAGCCCCATTTGCAGGGCCTCTGCATCATATGAGGCTACCTGCCAATGCTTTCTCACTTCTCTCCATGTGCCATCTCTGACAATCACATCTGCACACATGGCGAATTTTGGAAACATTCCTAAGATTGTTGTCCAGCTCAGTCCACCTACTGTTGAGCCACACGTGCCATTGTCCAAACCCCAATGGGGCCATGGCCATGGTTTCCAGGACCCCTAAGGCCGTCAAAAGCAAAAAAGACATACGGGCCCCAGAAAAGCCAAACCCAAGGGAGCCCTGGCGCGTGGACAAGCGGCACAATTTCCAGTCCCCGGTGGGCGTGGAGTAGCTGACGTTCAGGCTGAAAGACCCGGCCTAGGTCTCCGAACGCGTGGGATTCTCGAAATTATTTTTGAGGGCCTCCCTCTCAACCACCTGTTCATTGTGAGGGCAACAGTGATGTTACCTCAGACGAAAATGTAGCTACAAATTTCATGCTAGGGTCGAGAATCCTACGTGATTCGACAAACCTTAAGCAAGGGATCCAAGGACCAGCAAGTTGACCCCAGATTATAAGCCCCTTCGGACGAACAAAGTCCCGTTGGATGCGAGTGATTCGCTCACCCACCACACATGAAGAAACCTGACGGCCCAACAATTGCAGAGGGCTAATCCAACAGAAGAAACAACAGACATATTTAGGAACAAACGGCAAAGAGCCAAAAGCCCAGCCTGTGCCGCCACCACTAGCGATGACGGCGCAGAGCATGCAGCAAACCTGTTCGCAAGGCTGACTTCCCGTCGACTGGAGCCAACACATCCAAAACTTCTTCACAACAAGTGCAAGGTCCAAAGGGAGTGAGCCACGTGAGGGAGTTCAGGCAGGGGGCACGAGAACCTGCACACACTATAGTTCAGAAGGAAGTAAGCCGTATGCAAGAAGTCTAATTACATGGGCGAGTTTGCTTGCCCCCCCACACGGGAAACAGGAGACAACTCGGGCCACTGAAACTCAGAAAACAAAGGTGTCCCCAGCCCTGAAAGGTCCGAAGTGAAGCTTGGGGGATTATTGCACAGGGGGACCATCCCTTCGTCTCCCACCAGCTTATATACATGTTCATTATGAAGATGCTGCTAGTGACAAATCTGGAGTTGTAGCTCCTAGCATTTCTCCCTCTGTCTGCATTATTTGGATGCTGGCCATCTTCCAGAGAAAGGGACAGGATGAGAATGCGACAGGTTAACTCACATAAACTAATAAAATGCCTCTTAGCACTATATATCTGGGTTAAGGCTGGAGATAAAGAGGTTGCATTTGATTCTTAAGCTTAGCACTATATATCTGGGTGAAGGGTGAAGACAAAGAGGTTGCATTTGATTCTTAAGCTTGGACTTGATGAGAAAGGAAACGGGACAGTGGTTTACTTGCTTTTCCTTTCGTGCACCATCCTCCTAGCGCACCTGTTTTTGCAGGAAAGGTTGCATAACACAAGCTTCTTCTCATGTTCGTTGTTGTGTTTGTTGTCGGTTGTGTTGTTGTGTTTGCTGTTGTGCTTGCTGTATTGTTTGTCGTTATGTTTGCTGCTGTGGGTTGTTGTTTTGTTTGTTGTGTTGGTTGCTATGTTGTTTGATGTGTTGATTGTTGTTGCGCTGGTTGTCGTGTTTGTTGTCGTGTCTGCTGGTTTGTGTGTTGCGTTTGTATTGATTTGTTCTGCTTTGTTGCGGTTTGGCAGACTGAAAAAAAAGGAGAAAAAAAAACGGAAACATTTGGGCCAACTGCTTTCAGGCCAACTGATGATGGGAAGCTGGCAGATTAACATGGACACTAGGAAACCACAAGCTGATTGACATGGAACCCAGGAAACATTTAGTCTAATTAAATCACTGATTTCGGCCAACTGCTGGCAAGCTGGCAAATCAACATCGAATCTAGGAAACCATAAGCTGATTTGCATTGAACCCAGAAGGGGTCTCAGGATCTTTCTGGCGGATGAGGATTTCTAAGGTCCCTCCAAAATCATAGCAAGGGCGGCAAAAGGAAGCTTCATGGCCCGATTTGGTCCTTAATGCATGACCCCCTAGGCTCTGATAGGCAGACTGCAACGGCTCCCCTTCTATGGCTCGATGAACGCGAAGCCTGGTGAGCGTCTTGTACCTCCAGCCAGCCAAATCGGCCAAACAAACCCTGCCTGTACTCCCAAAGTCCGCCGAGTGCAGCCGCATGCATCTCACAGCCTGCGAAGCGTGCCACAATTTCTGTGCACGGTTGCTTTGACTTCCTTGTTGTCAACCCCCCAAACGTGATATACTCCAAATGCCAAAAGGCAGCTTACACATACACTCATGCATACATGTAACCACGGACCCCAGGCCTGTTCCCCAAATGTGGAGCGCTCTGGATGACTAGCTTCTCTGCTCCGGGCAGGCTAAATGTCCCTCATGTTGAAGACTGGCAAACACGATTCAGGATTGAATTTCAAGAACCCACCATTCACCTCTCTGGTTGATTGGCGAGTGGAAGCCTTAGGCGACTTGCAAGCCTCAGCCGACTCTGCTCTGACAACATGAACCCCCCATGCAAGTGCACCCCCTTGCCCAGGAGTTGGAATTGTTTTCAAGTGTCCCACCAAACAGAAGGAGGAAATGTGCGGAAGCCAGTGAAGTTGATGTTTTGGTAGGTTTAGCAAGGTTTTTGAAACCCCTCTCTACTGCTGATCCGCGGGATGTTGCAAGGGAACAACTGAGCAACTGGGCTGGTGCTTCGTCCCGAGGGCTCTGCCTGTGCCGGCCCCACTGCCATCTGCTAACGCACCTCAGCTGTTCTCGGAGCGATCGCTTGGTCTAGCATTTGACCAGCCTGGACCACCCCGCGACTTAAACACGTTTAAAAAATTAAACACCCGTTCTGTAAACAACCCTTCGTTTCAGTTTCCCGAACCGGGCTGAGGTGAGTGTGTTGCATTTGTTGCCCACCGAGAAGGATTCAAGAGACCTTTTTGAGGGCTTCTACACTTTGAGTCCTTGAGAAATCGGGTATACAGGCAAAGCCTGGTGTGCATCTTAGGCCGTCCGCGCTTTAAGGACCAAATGTAGACCAAAACTGGGACGCCGAAAGGTTAACATCATTCAACGGACTCAGAAACCAAAGGCCAACCGCACCTCCTTCGAAAGAAGCAGGCTTCTCGAAGGTCGATTTTGCGCAGCCAAATTGTCGCCAAACAACGGACCACCAACCTCACAGAATCATCCTGTTGTGTGACCTGACTTTAGATCCTTCCCAAACTCGACCCTCTGTAGTATCCCCTCTTTTCTAGGCTTGCATTGTGCATCAGTCGAGGGAAAATATTTTCATTTGGCCATAACGGTAGAATGCTTGATCCTTCCGTTCCCCGTTTTTCTGTTGCCCGCCATGGGCGCAAAAAGGTCGCATTCAAGTCAGATCTGCCTCGTCTGCTGCTTCCAACCTGTTCAAATCGTGGTCCCATGGTTTGTGGAATGTCCACAGAACCCTTCTGCCAAAGCAAAGTAGGAATCCCAATGGGGTCTGCGCACTTCCATGTTTGCTGGTGGGAGCTTCCTTTTTACCCCATCCCCTTTAGTTTCCTGCTGGGACTGGGCCAAGGTGCAGCCAGTCACCTCTTTGGACTCCTCATCCAGCACCCGGCCCTGAAGCGCCTCAGTTGCGCCTTCCACACGAATCGCTGGAAGGCCCCCGGTGGAGGGACCTCAAAGAATCAGGTTCCTCGAAACTTGACGGGCTGGGTTCCATGTTGATACGACCTCCTGGCCTCCGGCCATCATTTCTTGGCCTAGCTGCCAAGAACTAGATGTTGATCCTAGTGCAAAGGGCCAAATTATTTGGCCTTTGATCCAAAGGCCAACAAAAATAAAACACACAGACGCATCCGAAAACGAGAAACTCCAGATTGGAATTCCCAAATAACCCGAGCCTGGGTGCTATGCAGGCCTATGCCGCCTCTGATCAACTGCTCGCCTCTCATGAATTCCTAGTGTAATGCTGGTGTGCAGGTCAATCCCTCGAGGCCAAGCAAGCCGCCCATGACCAGGCTGTCAAGGACTAAGGAGCCGTGCCCCTCAAAACTATCTCAGCTTTCGCCGCAATAAGACCAGCATGATGAGATGTTTGGCTGCGAGTTTTGGTGCATTTATTGAACCTCAACGTAACCTTAACATTGACATTGAAACGTCGTCTGAATCGTCTTTGAGACGTGCCAAGCAAGAGCTTTCCGCGCCGACTCCCAGCCGTTTGGGCGCCAAGGTGCGAGGGAAAACCGAGGAAACACCCGTCAGGCTTTCAGAGGAAGTGGGACCCCCTTTTTTCAGGGGCCTTCCGATTTGTAAGTGGTGCCGAAATTGCAACTCCCCACTCTCGATTGAATCAGAGAAAGCACGCAGCGGATCCCAGTTCTCACTATAGGCAACCAGCTATAGGCCATGTCGTTAATGTGTGGTTCTGCGATATCCTCCAATGGTGTGCCAAGCTCAGGAACAGGGAAACAAAAGCTTCCTTGTCAAGGTAAACCTATACATCCTTCATTCAGTGGCTATATAACATAGTGGCAGAAAAAATAGGGTCGCATAAACCATGTAACCATATTCAACCCCGGGGAAATTAGTGGTTTTGGTACAGTGGAACGAGTGGAAGCCATCCTAAACAGAAACTCCGCCAGCCTCCGAGCACTTGCCCCCCGGCAACTCGCGCCTTCTGATTTCCATAGAGCGCTAGCTCTGTGAAGGCCACGGCGTTGTCCTAGACGGGCTGCCCGAAAGATGTGCGGTGATTGCCTTCAAAAATGCAAGGTCAAGGTTCGGTCTTGCCAAGTGTTTGAAAGGAGGCCACAAGGATATTGCTCAAGCAATAGCGGTTTAAGCATGTTTAAACAAGGGCGGCGGCACAATTCTGGTAGGACACCCTATATTCCCCGGTAATGCAAGCATAGCCCCCACCCAAAGGTGAAACTCCCTTTGCACTGGCCCGAAAGGTGATGTCGAAAACCACCAAACGGCCCAAAAGTAGGGAACCTTGCCAGGACCGCTGCCCCGCCCAAGGCGCCGTGGTGTCCACGGTGAAGCGCCAGTCGAAAGCTCCCCGGCAGCCCGGGTCGTAGTTGGCCGCCAGCGTGGTGCTGCTCGGGCCGCACCTCGCAGGGAGTGAAAATTCTGGATACCCCTTGGTGGACGTGATTTTTGGTGGGGATTCATGTGCACCCAATCGCTTGTGAGGTGGTTTCCTGTTAAAATTCATAGCCACGCGAGGCGATCATCAGATCCAGTGGCTTGCCGGCCTGTTTTGAAGGGGCAACAGAAAGAACTGTGGTCTGAATTTGTTCCAATACTGCTGCTGCTGTTGCTGCTGCTGCTGCTGCTGCTGCTGCTGCTGCTGCTGCTGCTGCTGCCGTTTTCGGTGCTTCCAGGAGCAAACGCTGGATAACTTTAGAGATCGGCTTCCAAAAACTTCCAAACCTAGTACTAGATGCTTCCTGGTTTAGGTGTTGAACGAGTTTCGCACAAAAACGACTCGTGGCATGGATTGGAAGCAAATTGCTTGTTTTGGGCGAGATGATGCCCCGAGGCATGCATCTAATAGTATATCTGTCAGGGGGCATAAGTGCCATAACCCTCCCGTGGCTCCCCGAGCGAGTCGGCTCTGAACCAACAACATACCATGAATTCTCAAGTCAACATACTGTATGCGGGCTTTGAGAAAACCAAGAGCTGCGAACACAACACATGCTGCACGCTGGTTGGGACAACATCCCATGAGGCCCGCCTGCATCTGCAGTCCTGGTTGTGCGGGCAGACCCAGCGATCCCGCAGGCTGCAGGTGCCATTGGCACCATCCTTGGAGGCTTCGAACCTGGGCTGAAGGAATTCCCCAACCCGAATCCCAAAAACCCAAGCAAAAAAAGCCGAAACACCCCCTATGAAACGCCGAACACCCCGAACGTCGGGGCTCGACCCGCCCCTCCGCCAGCCATCGAAACACACAGCGGCCAGGGCGCAGCACGGAGCGGCAGGCGCCATGCTGCTCGCAGGCCAGCTTGCAGGATGCCAAGGAACTGCCTCGTTCTGAAACGTTCTTGCGACAAAGTCACGGGGCTCCCCATAGTTCCCTGTTTGGATCTGTTTGGCATTCTAATAAATAGCACATTTTGGGCCCTTGCAAGGTGCACTAAAACCCATTGACATTTGGTGCTACCAATGCTCCTTTAGAGAATTCATCAAAAAAGCATTCAAACACAACCTAAGGGTCAAATAATCCCTTACCGTGATCTTCCGAGCATCCTTTAAGGGGCGCTATCCTTTCTGCTAATTACAATGGGGAATCAACCGTGCCGCAGTTGACTCCACACTTTGTCACCTTAGGATGGATCCCCTTGGTATGACAGACAGTGGCCCTGAAACCCGCATTTCCCGCAATCACGTGCCTCAGACAAAACGCGCGCCGACACAACAAGTCGCTAGCACGTAGGCCCCTCTCAGGAGTAATTATTTTGTCACCGAACCCTTGGCCAGAATTAGACTCCCTGGAAACAGTTGACATGTTCAAAGACGGAAGAACACCCAACATGGGCAAACGGGCAAGAAGGCGAGGTGAAGCCTGGCAATGAATCAAGGTGTGGAAAATCACTCTGCCAGTGGCTGCCAGTGATGTTTCCCTTAGCCATTCACGGCCGCCGCCAGGGCACTTGGAAAGCTGCCCAGCAGATCTTCCACGCAAGTCAGCTGCTGCTGAGGGAGCCAACTGGCCACAGCCTCCGATCGCCAGTGAGAGATGTTCGAGAATTGGACTGGGGGCCTCCACCCAAATTGTTTCTAAGGGTACCCCGTTCTCTGTTGATTTGTAGAAATTGGATTTCAAGGTTAAACCCACAGTGTTTTCTCGGTTTAAATTGAATGGGAATCTAACCAATGATTTGTTAAATGGGATGTGGTGGGGTGTCGTGCCTTCATTTCAAGATGCAGGCCTGCGTGTATCGGCTCACCAGGCTTGTGGCATCCGCGTCTGAGATGGCCTAGGCAGAAACCGGGGGCGTCCCCCTAAGGGGAAGGGTGGCCAAGACCTCCAATCAATGGCATTCCCTAAAACAGTTCTTGTTAGTGTTTCAAGGTAAACTCCTCAAACAAAAGCTCAAACAAACAGGGAGACAAGGGCATGACTGGAGGTCTTTGGGGTGTACCCCAGCTCCATGTTCGTCTTTCACACAGGAAATAAACAAGATCCAGGAGCCAACTTCTCTTCTCTCCCCCGAAACGGGTGGGGCTCTGTGTACACCCTCGCAATCCTCTCCTACAAGACATTGTAGAGGGCCCGATCCGTTTTGAGTGCCAGCACAAGCTAAGGTTGCTCTGTTTAACTTTTCAAGCCTCAAATCTCGAAAGAAACCACCAACCAACCAACCAACCAACCAACCAAGCAAGCAAGCAAGCAAGCAAGCAAGCCAGCAAGCAAGCAAGCAAGCAAACCAACACAATCACCCACATGCGAAACGCAAGTTGTGGCGTCCGCGAGAAAATGTCCAGCCCCGACTAGGCTCGCTGCTTCATCCCAAAGCTGGACCTGCGACCAGGCTCCGCGTGAACCTTCACTTTTGAGAAACACCCCCCTTATCATATTATCCCCATGCCTTCATCGCGGACTTCCTCCCGTTGCCCTCTTGCTGGCTTGACCAGCATGTATATGTAGGGAAATCCACTAAAACTCAGGGAGCACACCTTCATCGGCCACACCTCCAATCTGCGGCGTTAGGAGGGCAATGAGAGTCGGTAAGTTTCCGTAGGTCCCAAAAAGCACCTGCAGGCCAAGTTCCAAGTTTGTGGATCTCATTTGTTAAGCTTGGATTCCCCAATGCCCAGCGAGTCCCAAGGGCAAACTACACACTTTGCGGGGCCCCGAGTCATTCACAAGCCACTTCAAGCGGTTGAAAGCGCGACGTATCTGAACTATCCAGCTTTCTGACAAGCTGTTCGCAGACCTTCATGCGCAGAACCCGTGATGGCGTTTTTGGTTGCCACAAGCAAACCAGCCGATTTTGCTGAGCGAAAGCCCAACCTGTCCCTTTGCCATGGGCACACTTCCATGGGAAAATCCTCAAAGGACACCTTAGCTACAAGGTTCTTGTGCGAAATACAGGTTGTCCCCCAGGTCCTCACGAAGCCAAAGCAAAACTAACAAATCAAATTGCCGGTCGCTAACAATGGCCGAAACGTTCCCAAATCGAAGCGTGAAAACCCCGCGCCATGTGCAGATCGGCGGTGATGCCCTTGGCCAACCAGGTTGTGCTGCCTGGGCAACGCCGAACTGCGGAATATGTCGGCATTTGGCTGAGTTATGGCATACGTGGGTGCCAGCGCGGAGCCATCATCTGTGAAGAGCAGTACTCATGAGAATGAGCCCATATCGGCTATTTTCATCGCAGAAATTGTGATGTTCCACGATCATGAGGAGAACCCCAAAGACCTCAGGGTGCTAACATGAGAACGAGCATGATCATGATTTCGAAAATGGTGGTATCGCCGAAAGTGGCAAACTCAAAACCAATTTCCACGTGGGTATCCAGACTTCCGGAAGTGGCAGAAGCTAAACTCGCATGAAGATGCATGAAGCTTGGAGAAGACCTCCCTCCATTTCAGGGGGCCCAAGAACGTACCCCCGAACCAGCGGCTTCGTTGCTGCCCTCATAGACCCCCCACCCCACGGACCCTGACTTGCCCCCAGCACCCCCCCCCCCCGTTTCCCTAAGAAAAGGACCCGAACTTTCGGCCAGACAAACCCTAAGACACGGCTCTCCCCGGGCTGGACTGCCAAGAGGCTTTTGCCCAGCGCAGCATCCAGCCAAGTGCTCTCCTCGGAGCTGGGAGCGGGTTTTCCCCTTTTGACACATCTTGATTCCCTTCGAGGGTATGGCCCAAATATTGCCTTAAGGTATCATGAAACTGTGGTTTAGGCATCCTGGTTGGCGGAAGCTGGATTGACTGAGTTTGCGCAACCCTGGGCTTCATGCATATGATTAAATCAAATGCGAGTTCCGTGCTTCACTCGCGTGATTATGCTGGAGATGGGGCAAAAATGTGACGTGCGGAAATTTTGCAAGTCGCTCCTTGTCCAAATACGCCTCATGCGTCAGTCTGCTTTAAGACTACTTAGTATTTATTGAAACACATGTGACCCTTGAACAACGCGTGATAAGCAAAGCCACAACTGGAATCCATTTGGACAGTTTGAAGGGAAAGCAACCGGGAAGCAAAATAGAACCTGCATGAACCTGCCATTCCCCCGTGCACGGAACTTAGATGAAGGGAATGCAACATGAAACAACCCTGGATAACCCTGGATAATTCGAGGTTCCCTGATCCCCGGGGTGGATTCTTACAGCCAACATGCCCCAATGGACTTCACTAGGTTCCGCACCTTGGCCTCGCAGCAGAGCTGTCCGCCCAACAGCAGCTGCAATGCGCCGGCCACGTGCCGGACCTCGCAAACGGCCGAACAAATCTCTCCAAATTCCTTTCCAAAATCTGAGTAGTAGGAGTACCCATAGAAAACCTGCCTATTGAGCTTGTCTTTTTACCCCGTGACCTTTTTGAAAGCCTTTGTTTGTACTGCTGAGCCGAGTTCAACTCAAGGCTTAAAAATGTCTGAGTTCATCAACTGGAGCTCCTGGCACCCGAGAAGCGGTGCAGGTCTGCATACCGAGGCTCCATAACATGCGTCCAGACATCCTCCAAGACCGAAGGGCAAGTGCAGGTCGCAACCGCCGGCCCAGTATCCTGAGTCAGCTTTGGACTTGACCCCTTCCAAGGAGGGGTTTCGAAGACTCTTCAAAAAGACCCTCCGCTTCCATGATTGTCGGAAGGGAAAGACTTGGGCAGAGCGGGCCCAATGCCTCTGGCTCACTCCCCTTTGCGGACTTGCCGCCTCCGGTGCGGTTAAGACCCCAGCTTTGCCACATCATGCTCACTAATCCAGGGGGCGACTCACTTCCCGACTCAACAAAAGCTGACACAAGCCTGATTGCGTTGTTGGCTGGGTGTGAGGGGCCCTTGGTGACAGTTTTTGGTTGGGAACCCACTCTGAGAAAAGGACCTCGCCTCTACACTGGTCCCACTAGGCAGAAGAGTGAGTGGGGACTCTAAAGTGGGAGGCCCCCCCCATTTACAACCATGGCTTGATCGATCCTGTTGCCCACCCCTTTTTATGCACAGAAATCAAGCAACTGTTTGGGTGGGGAATCCCCAAGATTCTACAATAAGTTCCAAAACCTGCAACAAGAAGTGGATGTGGTTGAACCTAGCAAGTTCCATCAAGTTCCCCAGTTTCGTTGGAAAAGATCCGATCCGTTGAACAAATCACGGGTTCCCCCCCCAAAACCATTCCGGGTCTGGAGATGTCGGGATCCCTGCCTTGGTGGCCCGGAGCTTGAATTGCTTCAAAGGCGTTGCCACCAGCTCCCAGAGCGCCGCTCCCTGGTACCCGCCTCGCGGACGCCGGCTCTTTACTCCCAAAGAACATCCAAGCGCTGTCTTGGGGCCCAATGAGGTCGGTTTTGCGCCCTCAATTTGTCCAAGGGAAAATGGCTGCCTCCGCAGCGAACTGATTCCTTCCGTTCTTCGTTTTGGGCGGCTGTCCTCCGCGCACGTTTGTTTCTCATTTACAAACCTTCCCAAGAAGTTCAAGATTTGCGCTGCAAAAGAGCAGGCAGAAAGCTCCAGTTCCGCTCCGGTTCCGAGGTGCCATCCCTCCGCAGCACCGGTTGATCCTTTCCAGCGCTGTCGTCCGTGCTCGGGTGCAACTTGAGGTATGCCATAGCCTGGGCCCACACGCACATTGCGCAATGGGTGCTCCAAACGCGTAGCAATACGTCACCTCTGGCCTGAAGAGTGGTATGTTTTATGTCATATGTAGAATTTGGGACCTAGGCATCAGCCGCTCCCGTGGATTCCAACCTTAGGATCAATTCAAAAAGGTGGTTTCCCTGACCCCAAAGGCCACCCTTTGCAAGGGCGCTGGGCCACTGCACTAGAGAACCGCAGATTTTACCAGGGTATTTTGGGAACCTATATTTTGACCCACCCAAATTTCCGTCCCAAAACATCGAGCTCCCCGCTGGGACCCCCCGCTGTAAACTTGGCAGCGCCCTGCGCGAGTTCCATGCCAGTGCCGCCACTGAGGCGGAAGGCAAAGCCTCCGCTGGCTCGTGAAGTTTTTTTTTCTGAAAGATTTGCTGCAGTTCATATTTCCCCGCTTCAGAGGAGAGTCCCGTTTTCAAACACTTGTACTTAATTTGGCCATTTTGAATGCCACATTTTGGTGGCTGTGCGGGGGGATTGGGGAGCAGCAGGACACTTCGCATATAGACTCAGGGAAAAGTTGATATAGGCCCAACATACTTTCCACCGACATCACGCAAGTGTCCCATTCCCACAGAAAGCCGATAGAGATTCAGCCATATCCGATCAAAATCGACCCGCCTTGTTCCGCGAGTTTGGGAGCAGTGCCTTTGAAGTAAAGCATCCCACCCTGCGAGCCCTCGTTGGCCACCTCAGTGCATCGACTTGACAAAGGTAGCAATTCGTTTGGGACCATTGCCCCTGGTTTGTTTCGGCGCTTCAAAGTGAAAGCTGCTTGTGGGGCACAGAGTCCTTGAGTCGGTCCTCACAGAAAAGGCGGCGGCGTGGATCTCCTGAACCGAGCTCAAAATGCCTATATGTGGTACATGCTTTCCCCAGAGAAGACGACAACCTTCGGAAAACAGTAGGGGGAGGAGGGCAAGCTGAAACTCTTTCATCATGAAAAGATGTGGATCAACCACTCAAAAATACAGATCCGTCCTTCCAAATGATACATATAAGAACAACAACGCCCCCTGCCAGTAGATACTCTTGATACTTCATGCTGGCCCCACAAGCCTCCAGCCCAAAAAGCCGAAAGGACTAGCAAAGGACTGCCTGATCAACAAAAACAATATCCACTTTTGGAGTCCTTAATTTACTGGATATTGAGTTATGGGATACTTGGTGGGGATAGCAACCTGCGTCGGTGAGTTTTGTATCTGAGGACCTCCAAGATTCGTCATTGCTGGGGTTTCCTGAGAAAGGCCCCTGCAGAATTTCCGAGTTCTCTGCTGGAACAAGGAGGGGCCTAAACTTCCCTGAGTGTACCAAAAGAAAGCGCATTTGCTCATCCCCCCGTCATCCCTTCTCATTTAGCAGCCGAATCTATGAACCGGCAGCTCCCTATTTTCCCCTTTAAACATCATCCCGCCAGGACGAAACCAAGTGGATGTGTAAATCAAGTCCTCTCCCCACCCCCTTTCCTGAGGGCTTGGCGGCTGTGACGGCCAGCGGCAGCTGCTCCGCAGCGAAGCCGGAGGCAAAGGTGCGGCAGCAGCGCTTGCCTCGAGGGTCGCGCCTTCAAAAGCGCGTGGGCCCATTCTGAGAATAGCTGAAAAATATCTGCACCTTTGGGCAGTTGATTCCTGCCTGCCGAACAGATCATGCTGCTGGTTGCGCAAAACCACGTTTTGAACCAAACACTTCAAGGCTAACGGGTACGTGGCACCACCAAGATCGGACTCTTGCTGACTCTTTTTTTGGCAGGGGGGTGGAGTGGGGAAGGGGCTTGGAAAAGAATCCACCCTCCGTGCTCTTCAGAGGACTCGTGGTTGCACATATCCCTTGCTGCAACACATGCTTCACAAGTGGGATGCTGTACATTCGAGATTAGCACTTGCCCCACGTTTCAGCATCTTTGCTTCACATGAATCGAACGCATGCTCCGGGAACTGTGGCCAAAGGACCCCTGCAAGAAGCGATATGCGTTTGCGGGCCCCAAATCATAATGCAAATGCCCACATGGTCCGATCTTGTTGGCGCCGCACGGCTGAATCACAAACTACTCCTGCTAACTCTCGCTTGCCTCAAGGACGTGTAAAATAGCTTCCATCGTGTAGTACCATGGAAGCCTGAAATTGCCGAACCTAAAGATCCGGCCGATTCGACTGCGCTTGCTAGCAGGTTCCAATGCACCTTTGGAGGTCCCAAGAAGAAACAATAGCGGCCTTGACTGCCAAGCGCAACAATGATGTTGAATCACCCCTTGGGCATAGAAGGACCTCCGCCGAAAGAGGGCCAAACTTTACAAAGGAAAAGGGGGCATCCCGGAGGGCGGGTCGGAGTCCTCTACTCTTCACATGGAGCGGGGCTACGGCAACATGTCTAGTGCCCCCTTCGTGAGGTCCACGCGCATTCCAGACGTCGGTTCTGGGCTCCCAGGCTCGTGCAAGTGTCCCCGGCACAGCTTGGCGCAGGGGCCACTGGCAACGCGTCCTTGCCGCAAAGGACACCTGGGCTGCGTCCATTGGTTGGTGGGTTTGGGTTGGGTTGGTGAGGGGCTAGTTTCCCAGTTACCGCCCAAACCACCAATCCATACCTCACATATTGTTGAGTGGTCAACATTTTATGACCTCTTGTTGGACCCGGCCGCCTTGTTCCTATTTTGGCAACCCCCCCCCCACCCCGCAGCCTGATAGTGACTATTGGTGTCTATTAGGGGCCATTAAGGAAAAAGGGCCACGACCTTCCCATGGATGCTCTCCCTCTTGCTCCGAATTAGTCTTGGACAAGTGCTACACATATGCATGAACAGCTGCACGGCATATGGCTAGAACAAAACACTGGAATCCATGAGTAAACCAATGCTGAAACAACTCAAGAGATAAGTGTATAGATGCAATATCCTCAATCCAGGATGTGCTAGCACATGTTTGTGCTAAGCACACCTTTGCACTAATAGGTTGGTCCACAAAGAACTCAAGATGCAGGGATTGATGTAGTAAGGGCATTTTGCCAGCAGCAAGTTGGTCAGGACAAACTGCATTTTATCCACATGTTACAAGTATACATGTGGGATTGACGATTCTAGCAAAATATTCCCTGGAATCTTCAGTGTGGCTTCTCCGGCGCCTAGATGTATTGACACTACTAATGCCCCCGGGCTTGGATGTAGGGTTGGAGATTTCCAAAGGATTTTGCCCAAAATCGCCGGCCAAACTTGCTCAATCACAGGATGTTCTGGTACTATGCGCACACCTCCCCCCATGCACGGTAGACATAAGTTTGAAAGATGCGATTTGTCTCGGAATTTGGCTCATGGATTGGCACATGCGAGTTGTAGCATATATTCAAAGTACAAACGGGGTAGATCTTTGTTTTTGTTGGGGGGGCACCACGTGCCTCTTGCCAACCGAGTATCTTCAACAAGTCAACTGCTTGATATCGACGTGATGGGTCACTCTAAGCGCATACAAACTACATGCGATTCCCGTCCCTGCTACCTAACGAATCGGAACAGAGCAACATCTACTTGCAATAAGCGGAACAAAAGCGTTTCCTTCTAAGCACTGGTGATGCGGGAGGTGTTGACCACTTTAGTCAACAAAGACCGCGAAAACAAACGGAGTCCATGTCCGGAAACATCCATGTGGTGATTGAAAGGAAAACAACAGGAAGGAAAGCATTCTTGAAGAAGCTGTCCACTTTTAGTTGTAATTCTAGCTTATTGGCTTACCTTGTACCTGCAAATGACACACATGAGGACAAAATCCTGGTCTAACCCCGGCATACGATGGAGACAAATCCAAATGCCTGCCCAAAAGGCATGTCGCGGTGTCCAACTCATTTTCACAGTCATTCGACGGCATCAAAATTCGTTGCAACAACAAATGACCGCTGTTTACCCTTGGGCAAACCAAGGGTACAAGAGTGCCCGAAGACACCAATGTTCTCACCAAGCCGCCGCTGCAATCCCCGCATGCCGGTGTTGCAGGGCAAAGCGAGCGCTCCCGCGCTGGAAGGACCCCTAAGCAAAGGTCGTCACTCCTCGGCCGAGGCAACTTGCTACTAAGTGGCTCGTTGAAAAGGAATGGCAGACACTAACTTGACTGGACAAAATACCAAAATGGGTGGCCTAGTTTTAGTGTTCAAACTGAAAGGAACTAATAGAGCACTAACAACTGATGAAAATGTGCGTGAGGTGTTTGTTCATATGATTTCGCAGTCTGTTCTTGAATTGAGGGAGCATTATTTATGACTAAAAAGGTGTGAACATCAAATTATATAAGGACTTATCACGTCAATGTGCTATTTGGATTGTAAACAAGCTTGCTTTCTGAGTTTGCTTGTGTGTTTGTGTGTGTGTGTGCTTGATTGTCCTTTGTTCTTTCTTTCTTTCGTTGATTAGTTGTTTGTGTGTTTGCTTGCTTGTTTGTTTGCTTTGTTCTGCCGTTATTGACTGGGTTATGTGTTGTTTGTATTTGTTTGATTGCTTGGCTCTGTTTGTGCATTTGGTTGTTTGATTGTTTGTTTGCGTGCTTGTGTGTTGCCTTATTTATGTATGTATTGCTTTGTGTTGTTTTGATTGTGTTTGTTTGTGTATCTGTGTGTATGTTTGTTTGTTTGAGTTTGTTTGCTTGCTTGCTTGCTTGTTTGTTCGTTCGTTCGTTTGATTGCTTGCTTGCTTGCTTGTTTGCTTGTTTGCTGGTTTGATTATTTGTTTGTTTGTTTGTTTGTTTGTTCAGTCGTTTGTTGGTTTGTGCAGTTTGTGTTTGTGTGTTTCTGCTGTGCTGCGTTAGTTTGTTTGTTTGCTCATTTGCTTGCTTGTTTGCCGGTTTTGTTTGTTTGGTTGTTGCCTGTTTGGTCGTTTGGTTGGTTGCTTGTATAGAACAGGTTAAACAACCGGGAAGGGTCACAATTGAACCCTGTACTCAGCGCGCTTTTTCCTTGAGCCACGTGCAGTCGTAATGATGAGACTGCACAAGTGAGACATGCATGCATTGGGGTTTACATGGTTGATAAATACATCACGTTGCAAACTACACCCCCCGTGCCCGAATGTGAAACAGGAGGACAAATGAAAGGGATGAGACAACCAAAGAAACCCGATAGGCATGATGTCATTTTGCAGCACACAAGCACTTGGATTTGAGCGATCGGTAGCTAAGGTCTTCCGCCTCCACTGACCGTCGCTCTCGCGAGGCGTGCTCATGCACTGTACATTGATCCTCGGCCAACATGATTGAGAAGTATAATGGAAATTGAATTTGAAATGTAAATGGATGTCAGCCGAAGATAGAAAATATTGTCGAAGAGATCGCTCATTCATCGCCAATCCCAATTGCGGGAGCTCTTCCACGGGCGCTGATCATCAGACCACCACGAGTCCCAGGACTGGCCCCAACTTCCCCAGTACGACTGGCTCCATTGACGATCCTGCCATTGGCCACCGGTCTCCCGGAGCTGCGGAATGGGCTTGCGCGTCACACCGACAACTGCAGGGAGCGGGGTGGCCCGCCCAGGGATCTCGATGTTGGGGATCTCCTCTTCGACGAAGCAGAGCAACTCCACCAAAACCATTTCGGGGTCTCCCACAGACGAGAAATCCCGGGTCCAGCCCATCACGCTGTAGCGGTTGCTCTTGTCAAGGCTTCCGTAAAGTGCAGCAAATTGTTCTGGTTCCAGAAACCTGCCGCCATGCACAACGTAGACGTCCTTCGGGTCGACCTCCTGCACCTCCTCCGTAGGCGGCACCAGCGTTAGCCGTGCGTGATATTTCGGCACAGCCACGCTTCCTTGGATCATTTCCTTGGTTCTCACGAAATTCGGAATGATGCATCGTGCCACTTTCTCGATGAACTCGAGGGCGGACGGCGTCAGGTCTCCCCGCGCGGCAGTGTAGGCGTAAAAGGGGTCATTGATCAGCCTCTCGTAGAGCGTGGTGTACTCCTTGTTGCGAAGAACTGCTTTCTTGGCAATGTCCTTCATGATGCCGAGGCCCCCTCTTGCGCTTCTATCCCCCCGCGCATCCTTTCGCTGCGTCAAGATCTGAGTCTCAACCTGGTCCATGGACAACGGCACGCCCAATGTGTTGGCCATCTCCTGCAACCGGACCACCCTGGCAATCTTCTTGATGTCCGGCATCCGTTCCATCAACTGGCCGCATTGAAAGCAGTTGATAGTGCCAACTGGAATGAGAATCTGGCAGCGATCGCACGCGACATCAGGAATATGCATCACTTCGGCAAACCGCCAGTTTGTGGCCTTCTTCCGGTTGGGGTCGAGCTCCTGCCACAAGCCACTCCGGCCTCGGGTTTCCCCGGGCTGCTGCGTCACAGCACGGGCCCAATTACGGTAGAGGCCGTAGCGAGCCGTCTCGAACTCAAGCATGACTTGCTCGTCCTTCGGAAGATTTTCATCGAAGACATTCTTGACTTTCGTGATGTTGCCGATGCGATGGGGCCGAGTCAAGTCACGGCACGCCGTTGGAGCCCATTGCTTGTAGTAGGCCTTGCATTCCTTCTCGAGGTTGGCCATGAAGGACTCCAGCACCGGGGTACCGACGACGCCTTTCTGGGTCTCTTCTCGGTACTTCTTGATGCTCTCCTGGTAGTTCCGCCTGACGCTGACGTACATCCGGTTGGACCAGATAAACTTGGCACATTCAGCGTCGTAGGCGTAGATGAGGACCTTGTTCGTGATCCAATCCTCCGTCACCAGGGCTTCCCCGTCTCCGGGTGCGTACAGCCGACACCCCAATTGAATCAACATCTCCACATCGACGGCGATGTTGATGGGTCGGTCAGCACGCGCACCCCCCGCCTTCCGGCCATGCCTGTCCCAAGGAGGCACCACCGTTAGGTAGGCGTGACCACGCGAGGTTTGCCGGTCCCCCATGCCGCCCGGAAAGATGCCCATGTAGATGATGTCAAAGAAGTTCTGCATGTTGCACGTGTGGTAGGCGATCTTGGGCAGCGCCTTTCGGCGCGCGTCCGAGAAATCTTTGCAGAAGCCCGGTCGCACACCCTTCTTTGCGTGCTCGATGGAGTAGTTGACATCCATTGCAATGGGATCTCCAGGAATGTTGTCAAAGCCACTGGCCTCAGTCACCCAATCGTTGTGGCCGGTGAACGCGCGAATGCGTAGGGGCATGAAACTGAGCCCGTTCCATTGCTGTCCGGCCGGCGCGTACTCGACATAGACCTCGAACCGATTCGATGTGGACGTGGCCTGAAGCAGAGTGTATTGGGAGCAGTTCCAGTCATATCGGCGCTGGATCCACTTGGCAACGGCTGCATAGTCGAAGGAGTTGTCCTTGAGATTGATCTCAGGGATGGACCGTGTCGCATGTTCGTGGGCATGTCCGCGAACCAAATACGACACCTTCTTGCTCAGGAACGTCCTTCTGCCATAGTTCTGGATCTGGGGAATCTTGATTCCTGAGCACTTGATCCACTCCCTCTTGGGTTCAGCAGCCTGGCCACGGGTCTCCCCGGGCTTTGAAGCAGCTTTGGGAACTGCCTTCGCCTTGGGGATGTTCTCCGGGCCACGGATCTCTCCGGGCTGAGTCTTGCCAGTCCCAGCCACGGGCGCCTGACCGCTGGATGAGGCAGCAGGCATTGGCATCGCCTTTGATTTCACCTTTGGTGTCGCAGCACTGAGAGCTGCAGTCATTTTGTTATGACTTTTCCGTTTGGAAGTGAGGAACAGCTTGATCTGGCCGTCCTCGCCGACATCGTTCGGATCCACTGCGGCAACCTCAACGGCCTGGCCTTTCGGCCGGCTGACCTTGGGCTGAGAGCCCGGGGGCAGGTCAAAGCTGATTA